CATGAGCTTGGTAGTGACGCATACTTTTTTTTTTTTTTTTTTTTTTGAGACAAGGTTTCTCTGTGTAGTTTTGGTGTCTGTCTTGGATCTCGCTCTGTAGAACAGGCTGGCCTCGAACTCACAGAGATCCGCCTGGCTCTGCCTCCTTAGTGCTGGGATTAAAGGCATGCAACACTGCCACCCAGCTGACACAGATTTATTATAATCTATCACTCAATAGAGCTAAGTAGGAAGATTGTAACACGAATCTTAAAAGGTCTTATAATAAAAAAAAAACCCCAGAGCCAGATATTGGGGTGAAAGCTGAAAGATCAGAGAAGCAGAACTGCCAGCCACTAGCTTGCCTCTACGAAATCATCAGCCTCAAGAAAGGGAGTTCCTGTTTCCTCACGCCTTATATACCTTTCTGTGTCCTGCCATGCTACTTCTTGGGATTAAAGGCGTGTGTCACCACTGCCTGGTTCTGTTTCTTTCATGTAGCACAGTGTGGCCTTGAACTCACAGAGATCCAGACCTACCTCCCGAGTGATAAGATTAAAGGTGTGTGCCACCACTGCCTGACCTCTATGTCTAATTTAGTGACTGGCTCTGTCCTCTTATCCCCGAGTAAGCTTTATTGGGGTACACAGTATATAACCACAGAAGATTATTGTTCAAGACAGGCTTGAGACACATAGTAACTTCTAGGCCAGCCTGGGCTATCTAACGAGACTCTGACTCAAATATAACAAAATCTATTTAAACGTCTCTGAATGCATTATGAAAGTGAATTAGAGAGGCGGTAGCAGTTCTGCAGTAGAAAATGCTGAGGGATGTGCAGTGGTCTAATTTAAGAGGAACATTCATGAGGATTTTATATTTTATGGTTTTGAGGGGCTTATTCTTGTCATGAGAGTTGTTGCAGTTGTCCAGGTAAAAGAGGCTTAGATTCCAAAATGCAGGAATGATGACTCGAAGGAGGAAATTTGGCAAAAATATAAGAGTTAGGGGAGAGAGTGGGTAAAACCGAGCTAGCTCATCTAGGAAGACAAGCAGATGAGGGTGTGGATAATGAATTAGGCTACTGTGTCCATCTATGAGAAATTCTCATTGAGGCTGCCTAGCCAGTGGTTTTCAAAAACAGGCTGTGCCCTGAGAGTCTCTTACTTTTACTTTTTAAATCATTATTGTTGATAACTATGATGATCAAAGGAAGAAGCTTCAACAAGGAATCCCAGGGGCCACTAATGTGTAGGGAGCTAACATAGCACCTGGAGCCAAAAAGATGCTCTGGAGGAGTTGCATCCCTCATTCCAAGGAGGATGATGATGATGATGATGATGTGAATGGTCAGTAGTGTCATATTCCATAAATTATGGCAGGACACAAAACATGGAAAGGTAGAGTCCAGCTCTTAGATTTAGGGGACTGGGTTATGGTTGAGAGCCCTCTAGTGGAAGGGAGCAGGGTCTGGTAGCAGCCCATAAAGCTGAAGTTTGGAAGGTGGTGTGAATGGAGTGTCAAGACTGTTTCCACTTCCTTTGGATTCAAGGGGCTTACTTTCAGGAGTTGTTTTGGTCATTGTATGTAAATTATATGTAAATTTGTCTTTGCTTGTGCCCTACCAGAGGTAGAAAAGAGGAGGGTTTGAAGAGCTGAAACGTTTATAGAGATTTTCTTCCACAGCAGGGAGGGGAGTGTCAGGGAATTTTTCTCCCAGGGGAAGTGGCAGAGCTGACAAGCAGTAAAGAACAGCTCCTGGGACCTGAATGCCAAGTCCCCCAGGGCATTTAAACCAACCTGGAAGGTGGGTCAAGGACCCTTGAGAAAAACTGTCCAAGTGTGACCTTCGCTGTTTATCTGTCTGTTTTACAATACCCACTTTGGAAAGTGGCTTGCTTTACTGGATTATATTCAGCATTATTGTCTGAATCTGAGGTGAGTCAGGAGGACAGCCTGTATCACTTGCTCCTCTCTTGGTTTTATTGAATTCATAATTGCACAGAGAGAAAATGTGACGACATGTTTTTAAGTTGATCACATGAATTGCAGACAAGAGGCAGAAGTGACCTTCTTTTTATGAGTCTTTATTCACTTTAATTCCAGCATTTCTAAAAGAATCAACAGAAACTATGATAGTCAGTGTCAGAATCCAGAAATTACAGCATTTATAGAAAGATCAAGGAAGCTTTAGAGGTGGAAATATAGGAAAAGTTCACAATTTTAGATTTATAGTGTATGCCTGTAAGCTTTTGATTATATAAATATAAATGTAATATAGACCATATATGATTATATATTCATAAAAGTATATACTTTCTGATTTATATCAAGGTTATATTTACATATTAATGTATATTCTATCTACCTTTTAAGTTTTAAAAACTTGTAGGGCTCTTTTAAAATTTTATGTACAGTATGTGATAACTTGACTTTTATAAAGTAGAGACACCCACCTTCCACATCAGTAAAGGGTGACACTGGCCACTGCATAAACAAACCTTTATCCTCAACCTTTTTTTTTCCTACATGGGTACCAGTATATTGATTTGCATCCCTATAGATAGTATAGTGTATGCTTTTTGGTATCTGCTGTTTGGAAACAGCATTGTTTCTTTCTGTGAAGTCTATCCAGTGGGTACATATACTAGTAGTTTATCCTCTTCCTGTTGCTATGGCAGTCTGAAGTAGAAGACACAGATATCATAGTGTATGCATTTTGTAGCTGATGCATTCGGCTTTTGAGCCAGGGACTGCTCTGTATAAATGCACATTTATGAGGCTTCTGGTGCATGTCTTTTGAGTAGATTAGTGCTAGATAAGTACTCATTCCTGTGGGCTGTATATCCAGAGTTCACCTTTCATGGATACTGTCGATTTGTTTCTGAAAATAGCTGCCATAGATGAAACCCATGGTCATGCTAACACTAAGTATTAACGGTTTATTGTTGTTAGATTAGTTTTGGGTTTTTTGTAGCTTTTAAAAAAACATTAAGTGCATGGCAGTGTTTTGTCATGAAAATAAATAGACTGTAACTTGATATCCTTTGGATGGGCTTTTGCCCTCTGCCACAGCATGGCCAGCTAGCACTCCTACCTTGTGGGTTCTATGGTTCAGTGTGTGTGTGTTCTAATGTGAGGAAGATTTAATGTTGGAGCAAGCTAACAGATCTCATACATCCTTTTTCTAACTAACAATATTTTTTTAACTTCCCTGTTTTTTTTTTTTTTTTTTTTTTTTTAACCGATGTGGTAACATCTGGAAATCCATAATTTTATTTGGTTGGCAAGAAAATGGATTTTGATTTCATGGAAACAGGGTTTCTCTGTATAGCCCTGGCTGTTCTGGAACTCACCTGGTAGACCAGGCTGGCCTCAAACTCAGAGATCTGCCTGCCTCTGCCTCCCAAGTGCTGGGATTAAAGTCGGACACCACCACTGCCCAGCCATTTTCTTCTAGTATAAAAAAAGATACCATGATGCCTGAAACTAGATTTTGATGAAGATATTGCCAAACACAGCTAATTTAATTATGCATAATAATCAGCGTTCTTTTTTTCTAGCAAGCACTCAGCACTAGCTGCTAGCACCCGCGTCTCATGGACCTTCAACTTCAAAAAGAGAGTCTAGAGAAGAACCGGCTCCCACAAGTTGTCCTCTGACCTTGTGCTCTGGAGACACACACACACACACACACACACACACACACACACACACACACACACACAAGAAGAAAAGTAAAACTTTTTAGTCAGAGAACTTTCCTTCATAGTCTACCTTTTAGCTTCTCCTCCCATGTTCTCAATGGTGTCTTCTAATAGGAGTTGCTGAGTGTCTAAAAAACCCCGAGGCCTTGCTTTTAGTTAACATTTGATAATGTCATGGTAGCCTGCCTCCTGTTGAGCACCAAAGCTTTAAACAGCTGTTGGCACAGTGGTGTTTGGTTGTGTCCCATTGCCACAGTGAGTATGTTAACCCTTTGGAGCAGTAGTTCTCAACCTTCCTAATGCTGTGACCCTTTAATACAGTTCCTCGTGTTGTGGTGACCCCAACCTTAAATTCCATTGCTACTTCATAACTGGAATTTTGCTACTGTTATGAATCATAATGTAAATATCTGATAAGCAGCATATTAGGATCATGATCCACAGGTTGAGAACCACTGCTTGTCATAGCCAGATGATCTTTTGGAAATCTCTTTTTGTTTTTTCTTTTTTCTTTTCCCCCTGATTTCTTTGCTTTTGCCACTTGCATATTGGGTTTTTAAGAATATAATGACCAGAATAAGTGTGTGATTCTTGAAAGTTTTGAAACATTCTTTTGACTTTCATATGTGTAAATCGTCCACATCTCTAAGTAATTGCTAACAAGAAGCTCCTAGCAAGAGCATAACACTACTGTTGTGTAGTCTGTTCTGTTTGGAAGGGAAGTCATGTCTGGAAACTGGTTTTAGCCACTGATCTTTCTTGGGGGTCACGCTGTAACCTAAGTCCACAGGTCTGCCAACTCTTGCTTCTAACGGAGATGGGTCTAAGATGCTGAAATGAATTAGCAAGTAGCCAGAGAGCTTATTGAAGACAGTGTGTCAAATGACCTTTCCTCTCCTAGCCCCTAAATCTTTGTGTTAGTGCCAATATTGAGAAATAAAACTTGCTGACTAGATCTTTCTCTCTCACAGTATCCGTTAGAGCATCTTGTTCTTAACCAGATGTAGCATGTAGCTCTGACAAGTGATGTTACTTGGGCATCTTCTTGATATCTCATATTTATGGACTCAGTTTGAAGATGAATTCTCGAAGCCACTATAAGGTCTTCGTTGATAAATTGTTTTGACTTCTCTTAGGTAATTGCTGCATATGTCCTAGTCATGGTGGTCAGGCTAGTGTTAAGGAATTTTCTCAGGTTGCAGCTTCCTCACACAGTCATGTAGAGTCAGCACTGTGTGACTGAAACCACCAGAGCCCTCATTGACTTGACTATGATTTCAGTGCCCCACCAAGAACTGTTTTCTCTCCCTGTAGGGATCAGCCAGAGCCGCATCTCTCATTGGCTGTTGCAGCAGGGATCAGACCTGAGTGAGCAGAAGAAAAGAGCATTTTACCGATGGTATCAACTTGAGAAGACAAACCCTGGTGAGTACTTCTTTTTATTTATTGTGCCTAAATGAAAAGCATAATTATTGCATTGACTCCATTTGTTAATTTGTTCAGAGAAACTATCTCATGCTTTGATGTCTTCCTTTATGCAAGCTGGCAACTATAAAACCTAAGCCCAGGTTGTAATTATGTTTAGGGTTCTGTTTCCTGGGCTGGTTCACCTTTTCCTCTCAATCACCTCTTGACTTTCAGATCAGGTGATTTTCCTAGGCTCAGTTTGGAAGGATGGTCATGATATCAGTGGCTGGCTCTCTTTTCAACTGTGCACAAATAAAATTTACCTTTTTTTCAATTTTTGGAAAAACATTATGTTAATTGGTGTGTATTTAGTATTTTTATTGAGTTCATTCTGTACCATTCCAGTGACCTTTCCTAATGGTTTTGTGTTTTTAATATTTGTGGTCTGGGTAATAAATTGATTTTGGAGTTTTAAGGTGAAGCTGTTCACATAACTCCCAGCAGCAGCACTAGATTGGAAAATAAGATGAAATCTTAAGGGAAAAGACCATGAAAGTCTTGGTGTTTGGAGTTGCCAAGAATAGACAACATGTCTTCTAAGATACCTTGAACAAGTAATAGATGAAGAAAAATACGATGTCATGGGAATGGCTGTCTCGGTCTGTACATTACACAGGTCGTGGTAATGAGCCCCGCCTCAGGAATATCGTTACCATTGAGATACCTTCTGCCGTACCACTGCAGAGAAAGCCTTCAGGCATGCCAGGTGAGGTGTGGCCCACAACAGTGCTAGCCCTGAGCTGCAGATACAGAGTGCTGCGTGGAAGTGCCTTTGAGGGGGTGTGTAAGGGAAGTTTTGTTGGTTTTTTTCAACAAAGCAAAACAGAAAATATCAATCTATACAAAGAATTTCTAGAATCTGTTCTCCCTCATTTTCTCTTTTGAAGTGTTATAGATATACAAACATTTAAAAAGACCAACAAGGTATCTAGGTACTTATGGTTACCTTATTGGATACAAAAATTATGAACATTTTGCTATGTTTGCTAATAATTTTTAAGATTTACTTGTGTGTCATGTCCTAATAATGAGGGTAGTTTCCTACAAAACCACGATCTCCATTATTGTCACTAAGAAAATGAATACTTCCACAGTTACCTAGTCCTTTATCATATCTCTCTGTTATAAGAGTGTCTTGTATAGCTCACTATCTGTTTTCTCCCTCTCTCTTTTAATAAGCAGTATCATTTTTAGGTCAGCAAATTAGAATGCTTCCCTAGACTCTTAAATTGCCCAAACTTTTTACTTTGTTATTTTACAGAATGTACCACATTGTAGATATTTCCAAATTGTTCAATTTTACTCTTAAAGGCCTTAGTCCTTATCTTCTGTATTGCCTTATACAGTGAGAGCCCAAATTAAGGGCTCTGTTAAATCCAGGTTGAATGTTTTTGTCAAGAACAGTGCATAGATTTGTTTTTTTAGGGGTTCCCTGTTGTAATGACATCAATTTACATTGAGATGCAACAAAAAATAAAATAGATTGATAGGGAAATGTGTGGTAGCATAGGGGAATATTGAGTAGTACAAGTATGATTTTGCTGTGATATTTTTCTCAATAAAGCATTAGGTGAAAATACTGTGAATAATATGAATTTCATGTTGCCACATGTCATGAGGCATTGTCAAGTGGCAACACTATGCATGTGCTATATTTGATGGTGTTGTTAAGGTGGAGCTAGATCTGTGCTTTGCATTTTTTAAGTCGTCTGTGTTGCTACTTTTGCTGTGGGGTGAGTACTCTGTTCTGTGCTTGGTGGTCTCAGCATTTCTTGAAGATCCTTGCTCAGTCAGTGCTTCCGGTGACATTTATAAAAATTAGATAATCTCATCCGTCCTTCTTTCAACATTTATCAGCTTGAATTTTTGTGCACAAAAATTTCGTGCTTTCATATTTTCTGGTAATATCTAGAAGGATAAGCAAATCTTTTGAAAAACTACCTCTGTATTTATTACTGTTACATATTGCAAGGCAGCACCTTTCAAAGGGGAGCTGAAATGCAAATGACATGTAGTTTCACATTTTCTAGCAGCCATATTTCAGAAAGAAACAGTGAAAATTCAGAGTAATGATGTATGTTGGCACATGTCACTTCAGTGTTTAATTTCCAGTTTGAAAATGAAACATCCCACTCCCTGCTTATTTCTTGTCCAGATTCTTTAGAAATCAGTATGTGTTTTATACTTACAACACAATTTCCAAACGACTGCATTTCAAGGGTCTAGTTGTCACATGTGGCTGGTGCTTCCATATGAGGCCAACACTAGTCTAAGATATTCTTGAAGCAGCCTGTCAGACCTGATGCTAAGCAATCTCCCGAAGTTGAGTCACAGAAAAGCCAGTGATTGACAACAATGTGAGGTGGGTGGAGAAGGAAGGACACTTGGTGTGTGGTGTGCATTATAGAGCAGCATAGGATGATAGCAGGAGTTGAACTGTGAGGAGAACTGTGTTGATTCCCAGGATTTGGTACCTAGGACAGAGCTGGCATAGAGACTGATCGTGGTTCTTAAGGCTGAATTCCCACACTGGGGATTTAGGCTGCACTCCAGCTTGGGGCAGGGTGGAAGCTGTTGACATAATTACTTCACTAGAAAAGGAAGGAGAGCTGCAGCAATGTTATTAGGCTGAGCTGGTGGTTCTGTTCACTTCCAACTCCTATTGTGAGAGTCCAGCTTACAACCTTGGAATGATTTCTTTTTTGTTTTTAATCTTAATTCCCATTTAACTGTATCTTGGAACCTGACCTAGGCCCACCCAGCACTGAGACATTGAAGCAAGTTGGAATAGAGGGCACCCAAATGGGAGGCATGGGGAAAGACTAACACTCACAGGGAGCAACCCTCTGCACAGGCATTATCTCATTTGAAGAATGAGTGCTTCTATGTACATATGTGGGCTTTTCACTGATGTTGGGTCACTGCCTCCTTTTTAGGAACTCTTTTTGTTTAAAGCCCCATTATGTAGTCATAATGTACAAGTAGCTTAAAAAAAAAAAGTTAAGTTGCTAAACGTCAAATGGTAGTTTTGTTATGGTTGCAATGGTTGAATATTATTCATCAGAATTTAAGTTTCTCTTTGTCTTTTCACCTTTAATGTAAGAGGTAATGTAGCATAGGATCCTTCCTAGATATATCTTTGCTGACTTTAAAATAACCTTTGATTTTTGCCTAAAGGATGATTTCTTCTTCTGTGGGTTCTTCAGAGCTGCTGTTATCTTTGAATACAGTGTTGCACCTAAGACTAGTTTCTCTTCTATCTGCCTGTTAAAGAGTTGCTTGGAATGACTCACTTTCTTTGCAAGTCACTAGAATCACCTGATTGAGAACTGGTTAAATTCTCTATGAGAGAATATTGTAGGCTGGGCAGTGGTGGCACATGCCTTTAATCCCAGCACTCCAGAAGCAGAGCCAGGCGGATCTCTGTGAGTTCAAAGCCAGCCTGGTCTACAGAGCGAGATCCAGGACAGGCACCAAAACTACACAGAGAAACCCTGTCTTGAAAAAGAGAGAGAGAGAGAGAGAGAGAGAGAGAGAGAGAGAGAGAGAGAGAGAGAGAGAGAATATTGTAGAACTATATAGTTATTTTTAATGTGTTTTGTATGAATTATATTTGCATACAGTGAAACAGCATTCAGAAGTTAAAAATACAATATATACGAGACAATATATACTACATTACTACTTGTATTCAAAGAATATGCACACACACACATAGGCAGTTTAGAATTCTGTAAGTATGGAAGTTGTCAGAATTCTCGCTTAAGAACTGATAAGAACAGCTCTGAAGAGGGACACTGGTAATAAGGGAAGCAGTAGAAAGACATAATTATATCACCTCTGGGTCTCTGTTTGTTTTGCAGTGCTTGGCATTGAACCCAGGGCCTTGTGCATGCTAGGCAGGCATTTCACCATTAAACTGTGGCCTTCTGAAAATTTTAGACCATGTAGTCTGTTTGGAAAATGCATAAATGTGTGAAGGAGGGAGGGAGAAAAAGATGAGACAATCAGTTTGTTCACATCGCGATAACAAGAGAAGAACTCCGTTCCTGAGATGTGGTTCGCAGCTTATCTGAAGCAGTTTGTAGAAAATAAGCCATGGGTAGGTTTATTAGGATACCACACCCTTTCCTCTGCCCAGCAGACAGGATATCAGGAAAAAATGTAAATAGCATCATGTTTCCACATACATTCTGAGAAGAAATACACAATGAAGGCAAAATACAAAATGAAAAGCTGGCTTTTCTGTTCTCTGATACAGAAATATCTGGCAAACAAGCGGTTGTATTTGTAGATTCTTTGCTTACCCTTGAGGCCTTAGCGGACTTCTGGTTGCGTTCCTCAAGTGAAGTTTTCCTTTTAGCCCTGCCCATTCGGATTTTTTAATGAAGTCTCCTTTTACAAGGTTCTCTTTACGTGAACTCGTCAAGGAAAAAAAATGGGGTTATTTTGACTGATAATCCAGTATCGATAGACACAATGTAATTCTCTGATAAATAGAATTTCCTAGCACATCCCAAAGCCTGCTAAGACTTCTCAATAAAACAAGTTGATGGGAACTAATCACGTGCACTAGAGCTTGTTTCTTCTGACAACGTTTACAAGGACATGCTTGTTTTCCTAAAGAACAGAGTGCTAAATCTAGCATGTTTGCTGTAAGAAATCCCTTTATTAATCAGATCAAGATCCACAGTCTTTTCTCTTTTCTGACTCAGCCGTTACTATGGCAGGCAGGGTTTGTGGGCACCTGCAGGTTCCAGATCCTGATCCTGCAGACGTCCCATTAAACACAGTCTGGTGGGAGGCTTGTGTATAGTGTACATGAAGTCAATGTCAGATCAGAAGAAAACACCCATCCTTTGCATGTAGCATGCCAGAGCTCTGGGAAGTGTGGGGTGACATGGGAGAGGATGAGAAAGACTTGGGAGAGCCATTTCCCATTTCTGTGCATAGAGTACTAATGGCCTTCTTCTACTAGCTGATTAATAGGGGCTCACCCAGTTCTAACCCGGTACACAAGATAATCCTATCTATAGAACACTCACTGAAAACTTAAAATCTAATAGTAAATTATGAAAGTTTTTTTTCCTCTTGGGTTGAGGTTTGCCAAATAAGAGTACAAAATTTTGTTTTAATGTGAACTAAGGTATAATGTGGAAAAAGTGTTACTATAAAGAAGTAAGTCACTCATAAGGGAGTCCCTGGGCCTTTCTGCAGCCCAGAACTCCTGTATCGCTGCAGGGAAGTTTTAAGGCTTGTCCTCACTATTCCCGCATTCTGGTTTCTTTGCATTGTTCTGTCCAAGTCAGTAATTTTGATCCTATTCTTGTATAATTCACTGCTCCCTGTCTCTCTGAAACAAAACAAAGGAGACTGTGCTTTCTACAGGAAATCTGTATTCATTCCAGAATGCTTTGTGTGCCATTTTCTTGTTTTTTCCTTTTACCGTGTGTGGGAGTGTGCGAGTGTGTGCTTGGGGTGGTGGTACACATATATGTGGGTATATGTGCACCTGAGGGTTCGAGGCTGATGTCAAGAATCATCCTCAATCTCTCTCTTCCACCTTACTCATTGAGGCAAGGTCTCTCAGCCAAACCCTGAGCTCACACATATAGATAGTCTTGCTACCTGGCTTGCTCTGGGGACCCCCAACTCCACATTCCGAGGCTGGGTTACAGGTAGCTAGCTACAATGCCTCCCTGGCTTCTTGTGCTGTTTTGGATGACTGCTACATTGAAAAAGAAATGGACCAAAAAAAAAAAAAAAAAAGCAACAACAACAAAAAAAAAACCCTCAATTATGTGATATTTATTTTTAAAATTAAGAGTATTTACAGATTTAAAATTGCCCAACTTTAGCCTTCTGTATATAAATAGTCTTGATTTCTTTCAAAGTCACCAGGTCACTACTTCCTTCTCTCAGTTTTATCCCCATTTTCCTCCCTCTTTTTTCTTTCTTTTAATCAAAATTCCTTTTTCACAGTAAGTCTAGACAATGCATAATATTTTTAATATTGATACTATTAACAGTAAATCCCAACAACAAGAGAGCACTCCCGTTGTACATTGCCTGTCCACTTCCTTCAGCCTCTTAGGATTCTGCTCTCTGTTAATATGCATGCTGGACCACATTGCCTACCTACAAGATCATGCCACAGTTCTAGCAGCATGTTGGAGCTCACTGATTTGTTGTTCTCTTCTCTCTCTTCCCCTCTACTCTGAAACTCTTCATCCCTTCACCAGATCAGACCTGGGGTAAGAACACCCATGGTCGGGGGCTGGAGAGATAGCTCAGAGGTTAAGGGCACTGGTTGCCCTTCCAGAGGTCATGAGTTCAATTCCCAGCAACCACATGGTGGCTCACAACCATCTGTAATGAGATCTGGCACCCTCTTCTGTATACATAATAAATAAATAAATCTTAAAAAAAAAAAAAAAAGAAGAAAGAAAAAAGAAAGAAAACCCATGGCCTTATCTGTCTATTTCTGCCTTCATCTGACCAGCTGTGATGTTAGTTAGCTCGGCTGTTTTGGACATTTTCTTTCTGGAACAAAATTTGTATAATTTTAATTAGGTAGAGTCTTACCCTAAATTCTTGCCATGCTGTAATCCTTGCTTGCTTTGTGAAAAAATAGGAGATTTTCAACCAGGCCCACGTTATTCTGATGAACTTAAACAAAAACTATTTATTTATGTGTACGAGTGTTTTGCCTGCATGTATGTCTGTGCACCATTTACAAGCCTGGTGTCCACAGAGGCCAGAAGAGGCCATCAGATCTCCTGGAACTGAAGTTACAGACAGTTGTGAGTCATCAGCTGGGGCTTGGAATTAAAACTGGGTCCTCTGGAAGAGCAGCCAGAGCACTTAGCTGCCAGCATTTAGCCGCTGAGTTCTCCAAGCCCTTTTCTCAAACCTATTGGCCATAATATAAAAGATCCACACTCACTGGTGATAGTGAAGAGATTCAAAACTACTGGCCTTCATACAAAAGATTCACACTCATTGGCTGCTTGGAAAAAGCTTACAAACTTAACTATATGTAAATTAAGATAAAAATATACCATAAATAAAGATATAGCAGATGACAAATGAAAGAATAATTACAGCTATAAGACTAGTAATTGATGTTGCATCTCCACTCAGTTAAAATCTATAGTTCAATAGGAAAAGGACCATAAACTAACAAAAGATAGATAATAGTCAATAAACAAGAAAAGTGCTCATTTTTACTATTAGTAAGGCATTTTAATCTTAAAGGTATTTTTTTCTGCCAAATTGGTGCATTTTAATAAGTTATATGTTTACTGTTTGGAGGATATGATGAAATAACAGCTGGAGATGGTTGTGATGACTTGTATTAATTATCTACTGTGATACAAACCATGCTATATATTTTTTTTTAGCTTAGCACACCAAAAATGTATTTTCTGTTTCTATAGACCAGGAATCCAGGAGCAGCGTCCTCATGAGCTTTTAGTCAAGCTATCAGCGAGGCCTGCAGTCACTAGAACTGGATGGTCCACTTGCAAGGCCACTCACATGGATGTTGGCTGTCCCTGTTCCTTACTGCCTCATGGCCAGAGACAACAGTTCCTCAAGAGCCCCATCATCCAGTCTCACCTAGCACCTCCTCCCTTGAGCAAGTGATCTGAGAAGGAGAGGTGTCCTAGTGTCTTAGTTCTGGACGAGACATGCTCTCACTGCCACGTGCTGTTGCTCACACAGTCTAGTCCTGAGTAGAGAATGGGAAAGCACCACACAAAGGCACAGCTCCCAGGAGGCAAGGAAGGACCCATGGAGCCCTTGGGGGCTGGGTACCAACATGCCTGTGTTGGGACTATATGTCTGGGTATTTATTTTTCTTTGTCAGCTGGGTACAGAAGCATCCACATGATGTGTATTGTGGCTTAGTGTACAAGATAGTTTTTCCCCTCCACTGTCTGGCACTCGGGTAGAATTGCAGAAGCACCTGGAGATCACGTGAACATCTTTCACTCTATGCAGACTTTCCACATGGCTAATGAGTGGGGTTGATCTTACTTCTTGAAGGGCAGCTGAGCCAGCATCCCAGGAGACAGACTGAAGGTACAGGGCTCCCTGTGATCTAGCCTTGGACTTTCTTCATGTCTTAGACCTGTCCAGATCTAAGACACAGTGACCAGGAGGCAGAGCTTACTGTGAAGGTCCATCTTTAGACCTGCCCAGGGCAGTTATGGTTGTGAGAAATGATGCTGACCTGTTGTAAAGCAGCAATGCATATAAAAAGAAAGTATTATACTGGATTTGTTTGAATATAAAATTAATGAAATTTGTATATGGACTGGCTTCATAATATGTGGGGGGGGGGAAATAGAGAAATTAATAATGAGATGAATCAGACATTTTAGCTTTCAGTTTGAAGAAGAGATTCACTAAGACAGGAGAGATAGAAAAACAATTATGTTTAAAAAGGAGAATCTGGATTGCTTAAACCATTGGTCTTCATCCAAGAAAATACAAGTACAGATGTTCCCATTAGGAAGGGAGTTTAGCTGGGCCGCTTTTATGTCCCTGTGGTTCCAGCTACTTGGGAGGCTATGGCAGGAGAAACTAGTGAGGCCAGGAGTTAAAGGCCAGCCTAAGCAACAAAGAATGACCCTGTCTCAGAAAGGGTGTGTGTGTGTGTGTGTGTGTGTGTGTGAGAGAGAGAGAGAGAGAGAGAGAGAGAGAGAGAGAGAGAGAGAGAGAGAGAGATTATCCATGGATGTGTTGCTTGATAATATGTCAGAAAACAGTTCCTAACATGAAGAAACAAGTGTTCATTGTGTGAAATTAACATGTATTCATATGTACATAAACCCCTTAAAATCTAACCTCCTTTCTAGGGCTGTATTGGGAGTTTTGATTAGCTGGGCTTGATGAAGCATGCCCATACTATATATTTGAGAGGTGGCGGCAGGAATTCTGTGCTGCCTTACTCCTTGTCTCAAAAGAAAGAAAGAAAAAGGGTTTGGATTAAGCTACAGTCAGGGAACTTTTTGGAGGCTTTCCTCAGAAGAGTGATATAACTGTAATTGTGTTTGGGAAAGATGAACTTAGCAGTGCAAGGAGTACAAGAGGAGGGGGAGGCAGAGCCTTCGTGGAAGCTCTGTGCACATCTGTGAGCTCAGTCCGTGGAAGCCGCAGTCAGTGTGGCTTCTGGTTTGAGTCTGGTGTCAAGTCCAGAACAAGCCACAGGAAATGACGTGATAAATCGAGAATTAGTGAATTATAACTGGCTGAAGCTATTTGAGAAAAGCTGGTGTAAATTAGTGAACCTTCTCAGATTGAAGTCGTTAAGAGTCAGAGGTGAAAGAATATGGTATTAGTAGGTGATAGACCTGTAGAGACTGGATCCTGCTCACTAAAAGGCTTGTGAAATGCCATCTTATTTTCTTTGCTACTGTATTCGACATTTTTCTTTTTGAGAAGGGGGTCTCATGTAGCTGGTACTAGCCTTAACTCCTGATCCTCCTGCCTCTGACTTCCAGGTGGTAGGATTACAGATGTGTACCACATCTGGCATAGTGTAGGGATTTCAAAAAAGGCTCAACAGGGAAAGTCCAGTGCAGAATTCTTATGAAGGGATAGGTCTCATGCTTTGTGTGAAATGCATTGAAGGAGTTCATGGAAACATGGGCTGATGGAAAGATCTTAGGATGACCTTTACAGGCTTTTGAAGGAAGAGGCTTTTACCTATTTGTGTTTTTCTTTTGGTCATTTTAAAATTTTTTTTGCTTGTGTGTATGTCTGTGAACCATGTGTGTACAGTACCTGCAGAGGCCAGAAGAGGCACTGGATCCCCTGGAACTGGAGTTAAAGATGGTTGTTAGCTGCCATTTAGGTGCTGGAAATTGAACCCATGTCCTCTGAAAGAACAATCAATGCTCTTAATCATTAAGCAATCTCTACAGCTCTTTGATCGTGTTTTTAAAAATAAAATATTAAATTTGAATATATTGGCCTTCAAGTCTCAGTGAACAAAAAGCTTATACTCACACCTCATTGTCTTGTTTTCATGGTATCTTTGTAAAACTAATTTTTTTAATTGCAAGAAATTTGCTTTAAAAAAATGTCTTGTTTATTCCAGGGGCTACGTTAAGTATGAGACCTGCCCCTATTCCAATAGAGGACCCTGAATGGAGACAAACACCTCCCCCAGTCTCTGCCACACCTGGAACCTTCCGACTCCGACGAGGGAGTAGATTTACCTGGAGAAAGGAGTGCCTAGCTGTCATGGAAAGGTATGTCTCCTGTTCCTGTGAGATGCTTCCCAGACAGGTTTCATATCCAGCAAATAATCTGAGGTCCAGATTTTAGCTCTGCAGATATTACAGACTATTAGGATTGCTCTGTTGTTGAAATAAGAAATAAAGCTGGGATTAGCATCTGTCGGCCTATTTTACTTATACAATTTTATCTTGTCATCCGTAGCATAATAGTTTTTAGAGTTAATATTTTTAAATGTGTATTTTTCTATTGTTTTGAAAAGACTCTGTGAAGTCTTTATTTTCATCAGTGTTGAACTGTAAAGGAGGGAACTGAGACTCACTTTTCTGCAACAGGGGGATGATCTCAATGAACGGATCTCCAAAGGTTTAAAAATATATTTAACAGAACCTGATCCATACCTGATTTTAGTACTTTTTGACAGCTTCATTTTCCCCATCTGACATGGTGTAAATACATGCTTATAACACATTGCTGTATTTAGTATACATATATTGTAACTGTCCTTTAAGTACCCCTCCAACACACACACCTTCCATAAGTGATATCTGTAGGACTCTGATTTGGTGGAGAGGTTGACAGGCAGCAGGGTCATTATTACCCAGTCTGACCACTAGTGTGGTATCCTGGACAAAACACCTGATGCAGGTTCAGAAGTACTTACTGAAACCTGACCGGACTCTGATGAAGTCAGAGACCAAAAGTGTATCTTCTTGTCTCTAAACTAAAAGTGTCAGTAGCCAGCAACGTGCTGTCCAGGATGTTGGCCGTCTGTCTTTTACCTGCTTCACTGCTGTTTCCCGGTGCATTGACATCACTGTCTGACTGAGGACATGCTTTACAGTGTTGAGTTCAAATGACATAGAAGTGAATAGGTGGCCATGGAACAGTTATCCATTGCTCTCAAGTACTCTCTCTCACTCCTGACTGTAGTCAAGAGTAGAGCCATGTGTTAATAATGAGCCCATTTCTTCCTGATTGACGGAAGTGAAAGGGGGGGGACTCACGTTCTGGGGGTCTGATTGCAGTCTGTTTCATTTCCCTCATCTGGAAAGTTTGATTCTTTCTGAAAGTTTGTTTCAAATTTTCCACATAGCTGATGGGAATGAAAATAATGCCTAGATTAAATTATTCACAGCATTCATATTTTCCTCTGGGAAACATGATAAATTTTGATACATTTTGTGCCTAATATGGGTTCTAATTATACTGATGATAACAATCAGTTAAATTTTTCATTAAGATATTAAAGTACATTTGTTACATAAAGTCAATATGAGAAAGGATTAAACATTGAGGAAACAGTAGATGACATTCTTCATGTGTTTTAGGAATCAAACCTCAGGGACTCAGAGACCACGCTTCCCTTTACTTCTGAATTTTTCTTCCAAGGCAGCAACATCCATCCATAGAACCACACTGGCCAAATTTTAGACATAAAGATATACAACATTTTATCTTTTTGTAAGGTTCCTATTTGGTTCTAACATTTTTAACCTTAATTTTAATTAATAAATATCTTCACCCTAGGACTTAGTTTTCTCTGGCTTCATTTCGTCCTAACCTGGCAGAGCTAGAGAGGGTGTGGCTTAGGCCCGAGTTCTCAGAAATGTGAAAGCCTTTCAAAGCACCGAGTAGCAATTGTCTAGATGATCTGCATCCTCCAAAAATGGAGTTTTGTATTCTCAAAAGTGGAACATGAACTCCCCTGGCCTTAGAGTAGTGTATCATGCTTTTTGGCATAGACTGAATGTCTGGAAAAATACATAGCCCAGCCAAGTAAGCCTTATTCAAATATATTAGTATAGAATAAAAGTAAAAACTATTCCATTCCTCACTCCATACAGACAGATAAATTTCAAATCAGTTAGAGAAGTGAATTCATATACATAGAAGAAGAAAACAGGGTACCCTTCCTATTCTGGAAATGGGAGAGATGTTTTCTAACTGAGCCTCATAATCCAGAAGAGAAAGGAAATAATGGATATGTATAAATGGAAAGAACTGTTAGTAAAACTAAGCAAAGTAGTAAAGAAAATTAGAATAAAATCTTTGCACCTTTTAGTACCCTTAGTATGTAAAGAGTTCCTAAATGAGGTAAGACCGACAGCTCTCCAGGAAGATGGACTAAAGGGGGTGGCACAAACATAATGCAAGAGCCTTTGAAGCACATCCTACAGTCCTAAGTTACTGTTATTATTACTTGTTTTGGGTTTTCTTGAGACAGTCTCACTTTAGCCCTGGCTAGCCTTCAACACATGGTAGTTCTCTGGTACCAGTCTCCAGATGCTGATTTACAGATGTAAACCACTGCATCCCAGCAAACATGCTAGCCTTGTATCAAGAGTGATTCAAATTAAAACTCCATTGAGATACCACTCTTCACCTGTCACCCTGGCAAAAATCATCAAGTTTGGCCAAGTTTTCTCTTGATTCTGCTCTAGAGAAATGGCATTCTCATCCTTCGTTGTGAAAATGCGAAGTAGAGCAGCTTCTGTGGAACAGTGCTAGGCAGTGTCTGGGTAGTTACTAATGGACTGACGTTTGCCACAGCAGTCCTGTTTCCAGAAAACTATGTCAAAGATATGCTGACAGAAATACAAAGGAACACTGTTACATGGTATCAGAACGCCGACAAGAGCCCGAATGTTGTCAGTAGTGGTCTGGGTGAATGAGTATAAAAACCCCAAAGACCATCGACATGGCTCAGAGGTAAAGCACGTACTGTGCAAGCCTGGCAGCCTGAGTTCAGTCCCTGGGACCTGCGTAAAGGTGGAAGGAGAGAGCCTCCTCCACAGGGTTTGTCATATGACCTCCACACACAAGTGTAAATGCCCTTAAAACAAACAAACAAACAAACAAACAAACAAACAAAAATAACTGTATTGAGAGAGAGCTCACTTGTTGGAAGTGTATATTTTATTTTTTCATGTTTAAAAAAGACTTATTTATATTTTATCTATATGGGTGTTTTTTGCATATATGCATATATATGTACCATGTGTGTGGACGCTAGAAGAGGGCATCAGAAACCCTGGAATTGGAATTACAGGAGATTGTGAGATGCCATGTGGGTGCTGGGAACTGAACCTGGGTCCTCTGTAAGAGCAGACAGTGTTTTTAACAACTGAGCCATCTCTCTGATCTCTATTCTCCTTACTTTCTCACTGTATAACAGTGATTTCTAAGATTGCTGCAGTCATAGTCTTGACTCAGAGTCAATTTCTGGTGGAACAGAAACTAAAAGAGAGCCCTAGCCAGGATTAAACTAAGACAGCCCGGCTGCAGAGTCTGTGTTCTTTATCATTTTGATATGCTACCTATTTTCCAAAATCTAGTGCATTTGTTGCAAAAAGTCTCTCAAGAAATGACAGGAAGAATCTTTGTCCCCACACGACATATAACTTCTTGCCAAGATCCATGAACAAAATGAACTTTCCTCCTCATGGTCTATATTGGTTATTTTTCTTCATGTTGTGATAAAACACCCAACAGAAGTAATCCAAGGAAAGATGGGTTTATTCTAACTTCCAGTTCAAGTGTACAGTCCATCTTGGTGGGTGAGGGGTAGCATCAGGAGCCTTAAGGGGCAGGTCACATCGAATCTGCAGTCAGGAAGCAGAGATAGATGAATGCTGGTCGCCTTCTTCTTCTTCTTCTTCTTCTTCTTCTTCTTCTTCTTCTTCTTCTTCTTCTTCTTCTTCTTCT